ATTCCTGCCTCACAACTGCTTGTGGGTTTGGTTACAGACTCTCTAGCTTTTTCAGAGTGCCACGAGAGACCCTGCTCACATCTGCAACCAGCACCTGGCTGTGTTGCTGGTAGCTGGTCCCTTCCTCATCTCCCTCTCACTCCTGTCTCCCAGCATGCTGGGTATCGCTGCCTAGGTTTAATGTGCATGGTGCTAAAGCTCCTCTGCCCCAGATGTCCTCATCCCCGCAGTAACATAGCCAGGAGAAGATGGAGAGGGTCACAGCATCCAGGCAGCAATCTGTCCCCATCCAGTAGCATTACCTCACTTCTTAGCGCTTCCCTTGGAGACCTTCTGGACAGGTCTGAAGGCCCCACAGCGGATCTCCGTTGCTCTAAACCTGTCATATGCATAAAAATAGACCAGGAAAATGTCACTAGCAGTGTCTAAACCTTACTGCAGAATGGGACCTCCTGTATGTGGGAGTACTTTGACCAGGGTTACTCAGACCTCTTGCTCCCATTATCTCCCCTTGGTTTGTCTGTCTTTACACCCTCTCTCCTGCATACAGTCATTGCTACCTTTCCTCTCCCTGTCCCCACAGGGTATCATGCCTTATGATCCTGGCCCACTCACCCATGCGGTTGGCATCCTGCCTTGCAGTCCTCACAAGGAGTCCAAGAATCACTTTGAGAGAGCTCTTCATTAGTTCACCAGGTTTGTAATGATTAACACCAGACTCAAAACTATGACCTGTGATGTTCAGCCAGCTCTCAGCCCCTGCTGACCAGCCAGTTGTTACTGTCATGAATCTCCAGCCTCACTTCCAAAGAAGAAAGCTTATATAAACAGAGGCTTTTGTTCAATCAGCTCCGATTACTTTTTTTTTTAACCGCTCGGCCCAGGCACAAAATCAATTAGAAGTTGTCTTTTTTGCACATGTTTGCCAGAAAAGGAAAGGGAGAATTAAATTATTGCAAGGTCCATGGAATTATGTCACAGGGGTAGAGGAGAGACGCCTTAGGACGCCTGGGCTGACAGAAGGGCTATTATGTGATCTCTGCATTTACGAGCCCCTCAGAGAAACCCCAAGGTTTCTCTGCCTCTTCCTCTCCTTTGAGCCCCCAGCCCGTACGGCTGTACCTGCTTTGCCAGTAATGCCATGCCTTCACTCTTACCCTGGGAGCACTGCAGACATTTCCCTCTTGGCTTCCTGCTCCCTGCCCAGCCCAATATGTGCCCAGGTATGAACTGTGATAGGGACAGAAAGCTTCTGGTGCCAGCAACCGGTACTAGCTGGGGCCGGGAGCGCATAGATGGCCTGGAGGCTGCATCACCGTTTGGCTGCGAGCGTGGAGAGGTGGCACCCTGCCAGCAAAACAGCCTCTGGGAACTAGGTGGCGTGATTCGGAGCGCTGCTCGGAGGCAGCCTGGCTGGGAAGCGGGGGATAAACAGGAAAAAGCTGCCAGCCGGTGTCCAGCTGGGGCCTTTCCCAGGCATCGGAAGTCCCCCTGCCTCATAAGAGCTGCCTGTGCCTTTGGTCAGGGGAGGTTGCAGCTCTGCCTCAAAGGCACCATGAAGAAGAGCGCAGCGCAGCGAGCCCAGCCTGGCTCCCCTCTCCATGCGTTAGGGCAGGCATTGTGGGAAACACTGAACATCCCCATGGGAGCCCATGCCCCAGTCTCCAGAGCACAGAGAGGCACCAGGCACACATCCCACCTGGGGTGCCTGGGCTGAGCCACCGGCTGAGCACAGGGTCACGGGCAGCGTGGGCTGGGAAGCCCACAGAGAGCTCTGGCCAAGGGATCCAGCCCCGGGAGGCTCGGGCTGAGGCCCTAAAGGTCACTCTTTTTTTGAATAAACAGCTGTGCGGGGGCTCGTGCCCCAGCCCAGGCAGACAGGCTGTGCCCCGAGCACCAAGGGGAACGGCTGGAAAGCTACTTGAAAAGCTACTTTCTCTCTTACTGAAAAGCTACCAGAAAACTTAGATTTCCTGCATTTCCCCCCCACCCCTGCTTCCCCAGCTGCTGGGAAGCTTAATGCCATGCAGGAGCAGTGGGAAAGGGAGGTAGCTCTGGACATTTAACCTCTCCATTAACCCACTCACTTCTTGCCAGGATCCTTTGGTTAAATCCCCCCTACTCTGGCAGGATCCGCTCTTTCCCCAGCTGCGGGACAATCTCAGGTGACAAAGGGCCACTAATAAGCTGGTGTTTGGTGGCAAAGGGCAAGCAGCCAGCGGCAGGCGGATGGGCCACTTGGCACTGCCCGGCGGCTGGAGAGGGTCCTGCTCTCATCCAGCCCTCTGCTGCCTGCGAGGCCACCTCTTCCCAGGCACGGTGAGACTGAAAAGGTGGGGGACCCCTCAGGAGGGGCTACTCACAGCGTGGCCATTGTGCTGCGTGCTGCTTCTGAAGCCAAAACACCGCAAAGGGCCAAGGTCCGTCCTGCCGAGCCGGTCGTGTTGTCTGCCAGCAGCACGTAGCAAACGGAGCTCTTGTTGTTGTCCCAGTTATCTGGCCACGGTTTCTCCGGTTTCTGTTTCGGTTTTGAGGCCTATGAAGTCCTCGTGCTTTGCTCCTCCCCGCTGTTGCTGCTGCGTCAGCTGAATATGAGGAAGAAAACAACCCAAACGAGCCACTGCAGTCCAAGCTGGGTGCAGATTTGTACTTCTTTTTTTTCTGGCCTTGATACCTTGATAACTTGGCCTTGACGTGATTAACTGAGAGAGCTGAGTTCGCTTGGGGAAACCTTTGATCCTGGAGCAGTTTGGGCACCAGCGGGCATGAGACCTGGTTGTTTTGTCCAGGCACTTGGGTAGGGGAGTACGTCCAGTCCAAGGCAGTCGGCACTATCAGAATTCCCTGATGACCTTGTCCTTCCCCCACTTTTGAATACTGCTCCCCGCCCTCTGCCCTCCGCCCCGTGCTCGCCTCGGCCGCCCTCGCTGCGGATGTGTCGCTGCATGCACGGTGCGGGAGAAACGGCGACCTGCGTGCTGCGACGGCAGGAAACCTGCTGCCCCGGGCCCGCCCAAAGGGGATGTGTGGCCCTGGCTGCCGCTCACCAGCACATTGTGTGCCTGTTGGTGTGCACAGCTCCCCCTCCTTGGTCCATTAAGCCACAGCGCCCCTTCTCCACTGGTAAGAGCTAAGGAAAATCACCCAGCTCAGGCAGCTGGTGCGGAAGTGTGACCTGCTAGGCTTTTCAGAGGCTACATTTCCCTCAAAAAGCTGTCATGTGCCTCAAGCCAGTGCTCCTCGGTGAGATTAGTGGATGGGTAAGCACTGTGTGTTCCCTGCTGCCCCAGAGCCCAGAAAAGAGACATCCAGAGGGTGGGAAAGCAAAGGCCATGCTTGCATCTCCAGCCTCCTTTTTTGAGTCCTTGGTGAATCACAGAATCACAGAATGTTTGAGGCTGGAAGGGACCTCTAGAGATCATCTAGTCCAACTCCCCTGCTCCAGCAGGGACACCTAGAGCATAGGGTGGCATCCAGATTGGTTTTGAAGATCTCCAGAGAAGGAGACTGCACAACCTCTGTGGGCAGCCTCTTCCAGGGCTCTGACACCCTCACAGTAAAGAAGAGATAGAACTTCCTGTGTTTTAATTTGTATCCACTACCCCTCGTCCTGTAACTGAACACCACCGAGAAGAGTTTGGCCCCATTCTCCCTACATTCACCCCTCAGGTACTTGTACCTGTTGATCAGATTTGCTCTCAATCTTCTCTTCTGTAGGCTAAACGGACCCCACTCGCTTAGTCTTTCCTCATACAATAGACGCTCCAGTCCCTTAATCATCTTCATGGCTCTATGCTGGACCTTCTCTTGAAGTTCCACATCCCTCTCATACTGTGGAGCCCAGAACTGCACCCAATGCTCCAGGTGCGGCCTCACCAGAGCTGAGTAGAGGGGCAGGATCCACTCCCTCCACCTGCTGGCAACGCTCCTCCTGATGCAGGCCAGAATCTCATTGGCCTTCTTGGCCACAAGGGCACGTTGCTGACTCA